TTGACATTTCTCCTGAAGGTCTGTTGCTGAATCCTACATCCCGCAACAGAAATATATTTTAAAAATCCAATGAAGAGAAATTGATTGCACAAAACATGTAACTCCAGAAGAATGAACTTCCTAAGCATGTGGGTTTGGAAGCGAAATATTTTGTAGAGTTGGCCATGGATGTGAAAATGGGAAGGCATCATACTAGAGCTGCTTATGAAAGGAGCATGTAGAGCACACATTTTCTGTTTCTAAAACTCACGCATTTGGTGGTTAGAATCAGATCTGGGGAGCTTGTTAGGAATGTAGAATGTCTGGTTTCAACCAGATCTATCAGAATTCACATTTTAGTGAAAAATCGCAGGTGATTCATATGCACATTAAAGCTTGAGGAACACAGCCACATGAAACTATCAAATACTTTAAAGTGGATTATAATTACATGAAATATAAGAGAGATAAATTCCCTACCAATGCAAAGGTGTTCACTGACATTCAGGCATGTTCCAAACATCAAGCACATTGTAAATAAATGAATAAGTAAACAATGTTTTTGTTTAATTTATTCTTTTGTTTAAACATTAATATGTTCTTTTTCCTAGTAATTTTTTTTAATTATTACGGACCATTTCTCACTACTTATCCACCTCTCCTCAAATTAATATAAATGATTTATAGTAACAATGTAGTGAAACTAGAAAGTAAAATTGTAAGAGAATACATTGTAATTGACCAGGCTCACAACCATTTTTATTCCTCTTTGGTAAAGCATAACACTAAAACAGCAAATAAGCAATCGAAAAAGCCAATTAAAAATATTTCATTAAAGAAAGTGTTTGAAGGTGGGTTAATCTACCTCTTTAGAGAACTTGAATGCCCTCTAGTGGGAAGAAAAGTTAATGCAGACTCCCAAGTTTCCATTTGAGAGAACAAGGAAAGGGAACTGGCCTTGGTACTGGAACATCTGGGTCAGTGGCTAGCTGGGTATTTTTCCTCTTGTCTGGCAAATTTCCTACATTATACATCCTGTGACCACAGAATAACGTGTGTTTTTCTAAAACCAAAGAGGATATTGGAGCTGGAGTGAGCTTGCAGGGGCTTGGGGTGGCCACGCCCAGAGCCGGCAGCCACCTTCGGGGAGGCCGCTGTACCATCCTTGAGTGAGGAACCCGCTGCAGGGTGGGCGGGGTCCATAGTCAGCCCCATACCGTTGGAGTGAGAAACAATGGTGATTGATAAATCAGGATTTTTTTCTAAAGATGGTTTGGATTTATCAATGAGAAATATCCCCAATTAAATATGTAATTGACTCATCTTTCATTTACATTTTAATTGTACAGATTTAACTTAAAATTATTAATAGCAACTACTGAATATACACAGAATTCAGAAACTATTTGGATCCTAAGTTATAGGGAGGAAAAGTATTTTATTGTGTGACTCAGCTTTCTGGCACGCTGAGAGCAATTCTTGAACCGGAGTGAAATGCTGCATGCATATTGGGCCAAATGATAAAATGTTTATTCCAAATCTATCCATTAATAATGGGGGGGGGAAACCCATAGTAATTAAAAGTGTGTGTAATGCAACAGATAAACCCTGCTAAAAATGTTAGTGACTAAGGGCATAAGTAATTTCTCTAGCAATAAACATACTCCCCCTCTTTCAGGCTAGAATAATTCACCACAAACCTGCAAATTGCATCACAAAACCATTGCGAGTTTCAGCTAAACAAAATTCTAGATCTCAGTATTACAAATCATCCCATCTTTGTTTACTATTTAAAAAATATACTGGACTTCCTTTCAGAGGATGCTAACACGCACACACTCATAGGCAAACACCATCAGTGCATTAATTTTTACCATCACAGGAGTGAACTGTGTTAGGCTAACAGAGGTTGCATAATGCTTGCTCAGACTCAGCGTATTCACCTGATTTACATATATACATACATACATACATGGGCAATAATAGGCTTACTGTAGTTGTTCATATGGAAAATAACACATTCACAAATAATAAAAGAATAACTGTTTTGCTTACTCACAACTGTAAGCCCATTTCTGTCCACCCCTGTATATATTTCTATATGATTAATTGATAAGCTGGTGCTACTCAATTCAATTTTATCCTGAAATCCTGACCAAACCATGACCTTCTCACTTCTATTACTTATCTACCCTTGTAGAAGACACCGCTTCGTTAAGAAGGCATGGGGAGTATTCTGTGCGCCTGGAGCCACCGCGCTGAATACAGTAATTGTTCCATCCATCAGGACAGAGCATCCGCCCTGGCGATGGATTGATGATGCTTTGCAACGGGAATGAGTTCCAAACCCACTATTTCAACATTTCGGAGGCTCTGCCTCCTCCTGGTCTGCGGACGCAGCCTGCCAATGGCAGAAGGACCCAGAGCTGGGTGTTTGGGTGGGGCTCTATTAATGACTCGCAGGCTACCGTTTCACCAAATGCCTTTCTGCCCAGAATCGATAGTGTACCAAGAATCAGCAATGGGAAGAACAGATTTGGGGGAGGGGGAGTTAAGGTTTTGTGCAAAACCTGTATTTATGCATTTTTAGATGTAATCTTAGGGGATGCATGCCAAAGATCCTGTCTCAGGGATCCATGCACATGCTCACCGCTGCAGCCACAGCGCTCTGGGGAGAATCTCCCAGCAGCCTCTAGCACACAGCCCTGCCTTTAGCAAGCACCCACGCCTACATCCGACCCACAGGCACACACATCATTTCGAGAAAACCCGAAAACACGTTTGCTTCGAAAACACGTTTGCTTTCTAAAGAAAATGAGCAATGCGGACAAAATTTCTTTTGGGGGCGGGGCCGGGGTCAGGGGTGGGGAAGGGAAGAGTGGGCGGAAGAAGAGTGAGTGCGACCAGGGTTAATCCTTAACCCAGTTGCAGTCATTCAAATCTTCCCAGCGAGGCCACGGAATCAGGAAATACTAATGGCGAGGATGTGAAATAGCCCTGACACTGAAGGCAGGGGTACCAGCCGCATCCCCTGCAGCAAAACCGCAGAGCTGGCGTCCCCTCCCCCGTCCTCATGCCCGGCCGGGACTTGCGGGGAACCTGGGTTGGGGCGAGGGGGTAGCTCAGGACACTGCAGACCGGTCTGGGGCGGCACCCCGGGGCGGGGAGGGGGCAGGGCGGGGCGCGGCGGGGCTCTGCAGCGCGGCTCCGCTCCCCGGCGGCTCGCCAAGCGCGCCCCCTCCCGGCGGCCGGCGGTGCAGCCCAGCGGGGAGGGGTGGGGCCGAGCCGCGCCCGGAGCGGGTCCCTCCGGTGGAGCCTGCCCAGAGGTCCCCACCCCGGGGATCCGGGGGAGCGGAGCGTGGGCCGTGGGTTTGGGCGGTGGAGAGAGTCCCCAGCTCCACGAGTCGCGCCAGCCGAGGCGAGAAGACGCTCCCCGCACCCGGGGCAGGGTCACCCCTGTGTCTCCCGCCGGCGGGCGGGGCCGCGCCTTTGTGCGCCCTGCGGCTCCCCGGCCGGGGTGGGGGGGAGGGAGAGGGGCCCTGGGACTGCAGAGCCTCACCTCCCCCTCCCTTATCCCTCCCCCTCCCTCCAGCCAGGACGCAAGCCGAGTTCGCCCCGGCTCCCCGCCGAGGGTGGGGCCAGGGCGGGGCTTCCCGGGCACACCCGCCGCCTCTCCCCGCGCCTCACTCCCCGGCCCCGGGAGGGCAGCTGCCAGCCGCCGACCCCGGACCCCTCCCTGCTGTCACCGGGCCCTTCCCCGCTGTCACCGGGCCGCCCAGCCCGGGCCAGAGCACGGGGCCCGCCGAGGCTCGGTCTCCCGCAGCCTGGGTCTGGGCTGCGCCGTGAAACCTGCCGGGTTTGGCCCTGTCCGGCCTGCGGGACGGACATTCACGTGGCCCAGCCGGAGCCCTGACCCCTTTTGTGTCCGTTATTCAGAGGCACGTCTGTGGGCTCCAGGAGCTGCTCCCCAAAAGCGCCCACAGGAGGTTACAGAAGCCGTTATCTGCTGCATGCCCAGTCCCCTCTGCAGCGCGGCTTGGAGAGAAGATGCTAACCCACTTTCCTCCTCTCCTGCAGCGGAACAATGAGGCCAGGGCGGGAGGGCGGGGACCGCGGCCCGGCCGCTCTCCCAGCCCGGGCTCGGAGCGGGGGGCCGGGGCGGGCGTGGCTCCGGGGTCCCGCTGCCTGAGCCCGAGAGGACGCCCCGCTGGGGGTGGGGGTGGGGGCGGCGGCTCCGCGCAGGGTGGGGCCGTCCGCATTGTGCTCCAGCCCAGCCCGCAGGTGCCTCCCCCGGGGACCTGCCTCCTCACACAAAGAAACCCCACCCCTGGGCCCCCTCAGCTGCCCACCGCGCCCTCCCAGCCCTCCCGGCTCCCACCGTCCCCTCCCTCCCCCCAAAACAAAGGAGCCGCTCCCCGTCCCTCCCGGCGCCGCACCCAGGGCTAACGGTCCTCCGGCCCCGGAGACAATACCGCACCCCCTCCCCTTGTGTCCCCACCCGCCCTCCTCGCCACCCAGCTTTCCCAGCCTGGAAGGGACCCTTTGACTTTGCATTTTCTTTCTCCCACCCCTTTCTCCTCCCCAATGTCTCCATTCCCCCCCTCCCCTCTCCCTTCCCTTCTCTTTCTTTCCTGCCAGAGGAGAGATAAAGGGCGTTACGAAGCACTTTCCAAAATCTCCCTTCACCTCGTTTAAGGTAAATGTTAAAGGTAGCCGAGCCTTAATTTTAAACACAGCAACATAACGACCCCCCACCCCTGGGAAGGCAGCTGACCTGTGGCTACTTCTAAAAAGGAAGCTTAGCTTTGGATGCCCAAGGACCCTCCCTTCCTCCCGGTTCTCCCCGGACCCCCACCCCGCACAGGGGTTCTCGGTTTTCGTGCAGCCCCGCGTGCCTTTCTGTCTATGAAACGTCTCCCTCCGGGTGCCTTCCAGGCTGGGCTCCGAGGCGGGGTGAGGGTGAGGGTGAGGGTGAGGGTGAGGGTGAGGGTGAGGGTGAGGGTGGCCCCGGGGCCGCTTACCCATAGCGGTCTTTGCCATCGCGGGGCTGGGCAGAGCGGAGCTGCGGCGGGAGGATGAGGGGTCCGGCAGCGGCAGCGGCGAGCGAGAGGAGCCTGGGTAAGGCACTGAGTCTGCGGCGGGGCCGAGCGAGGGAAAGAGCGAGGGGCAGGAGCCCGTGAATAATCACCGCCCCGAAGCTCGCGCAGATTGGCTCCCTGAGTCCCCTGACAGGGCTCGCGCAGAGTCAGAACCGCCGAGCATTCAGTATTGATTGGCCGGCGGTGCTGGAGTGCCCAGCACCAGGATGCAGTTTGGACTGGAAATCAGCCCTGCCCTGGCGGCTCCCCCCGTTCGGGGGGCCTGGTAGTACAGTCCAAGGAGAGTGGCGCCTCAGCCCAGAGGCCCCCTCCCAGGAGCTGAGAACTGGGCCGTGCCTACCTGGGAACCAGCACGCTTGACCCCATTCCCACTTGTTCCTTTAGCACAAATAGTCCTGCACCAGGGAAAGGCTCTTTGAGGCGGAGAAGCCTTCCCAGCATTCTGCCTGCTGGAAACATGTGTTTTAAAGGCCGCTTTCACTCCTTCGTCTCTTCTCTCCGCCTTTGGCCCTGTCTTTGGTAGATTCTAGTCTCCCAGGGTGACCCCATGTCCTCTCTGGTGGCCACTCAGAGCAGAACCGCAGCCTTGTCATTCGTCTCTGGCCCAGCTGGGCTCAGCTGTCTCTGGACTCCTGAGGGTCCCTCACAGAGCAAGGCCTGGTGTTTTCTACTGTTGGCACAGAAGGAAGGGGCTGTGTGGGAACAGGGACAGGAAGCCATGGTCTTCCTGGCGGCCTGGTGGAAGGGGAGGAGGGTTCACCTTCTGGGCCTGTGTCCTGTCCATCTGGTGACTGGGCAGAACCAGGTGGACTGGACGCCCTGACCTGAGCATTGGAGGAGGCAGAGGTGGGTGGATGCCGTGCTGGCCTGGAGAGGGTGGATTGCAAGGGTTGACCCCTGAGCGACAGGTCTCTAAGGAGAACCCTCTCCACTGAAGGCCGAGGAAGCAGGAAAGGCGTGGTCTGAGATCCAGACTCCATCGCTATCGACCACATGTTCGAGTTTCTCATTGAGTAGCGTGGTATTTGAGGTTCTCTGAGACCACTCACAAAAAAATGACCTTTCATTGCAAATGAGGCACTTATTCCTTCACCCCTTGTCACTTACCTGATGTCATTCATTAAGTCATTTATTCCCACTGGACTCATAGATATTCCCTGACCACTTACCAAGCCCTCAGGAAGCTTACAGCTGTGAGAAGGGCAGTAAGACTTGTTGTCATGGAACTTTGAATCTCTGCTTGTATAACGCTGCTCTGACTTTACTGAGCCTCCTCTGGGCTAGATCCACTCAGAAACCGTGGTTTTGACAATAGACAAAAGATTCACTTATTCCATTGCATTGGAAGCTAAGAGAAATAGGATAGCATAGAAATCATGAACATGTACAAAACCCGGGCAAGTTTTTATTTTGCAAAAATTATTAGAATTTTTCTCATGAGTGAAATGAGTTCATCGCCGCTGCTGTCTATCAAACTCCATTTCATAATTTCTTTCTTGCCTCATGAATGATGTGAGTTTTGAATGCCCAAACCCCTTTGAAAACAGCAGGGAACTCTCCTTGGTGCTGAAACGCAGTTTCTGGCCTCCCGTTAACGTGTAACACATTTTAATCCCATGGACATTTTGGAACTAACTGAGGCTGCTCTGACCTGCTGAGTCACAGGAAAAACAAAAGACAAAGTGCAGATCAATAACATTATTCCTTGAACAGGAAGAGTAGAAATTATTTTTCCTGTCACTGCATAGGTCTGTGACTATGATACAGCAGGAGCACAGTATGGAAGTTGGCAGGATCTGGAAATAAATAACCATTTTCTCCCTCTCTATAGTCATTTCCCACTTTTAATAGGAGAGCTGATTTCCTCTCAGTGGAGCGGCTGCCAGTCAGGAGGCGAGGGATCTTCAACAGATCTGTGTGACTAATGTCTTTAAAATACCCATCCTTCTTCTACCCACCTCGCCCTTTCCCCTCAGGGTTAGATGTCATCTCTACACGTTCTTAAGCCTCCTTGGAGAGAAAGGTCCCTAAGTCATGGCACTGATGTCTTCAACAGCTACCACTGGCAGTTGAGCAAGATTTATTGCACTTTTTACCCCTATGAGTAAAACATAACAAAACAAAACACACATTCTTCTGTCCAATCTCACATTCTCTAGTGATGTTGCTTACTGATGGATCGGACTGTGAGAGAAGGTCAATATATGCAAGGGCAGTGTCTGATGTGGGACTCTTCTGTTTCTGACTTCCAGGTGCTAGGCACCTACACTCAGATAAGTATGATTTTCAAATAATGTCAAGCAGGGGAGAGGGTAGGTTAGTAGGACTTACTATAGAATGTAAAGGTAGCAGGCTATCCTGGTCAGGGTAGCTCAGCTGGTTGGGCACTGTCCTATGCACCAAAAGGTTTTGGGTTTGATTTCCGGTCAGGTTTCTGATTCAATCCCTCACTGGCTGGGGCGTGTTAGGGAGGCAATGGATCTATGTTTCTCTCTCACATCCATGTTCCTCTCTCTCTCTCTCTCTCTCTCTCTCTCTCTCTCTCTCTCTCTCTCTCTCTCTCTCTGTCTCTCTCCTCTTAAAAATCATATCCTTGGATGAGTATTAAAAAAAAAAAGATATCAGGCTAACATCAGTGGGCTAAGAAAAATTAAATGTTCTCAAAGATCTGAATTATAATCAATTATTATTTTTTCTTTTCTTCTCATTGTCAATCAGGTGTCTCAGCCTGAGAGAATGGGGGCAAAATAGGAAGAAAGAAATTATCTCAAATTCAATCATTTATTCATTATTCATACATTTATTCAGCTAATTCATTTATCAAACAAATCCATATTTAATAAAACTTAGGGCTTTAATATTATGAAATCAGCTAAGTTTTTTCTTAATGGCTAAAAAATATAAAATGAAGAAAAGCAGAAACCACAACTCTTTAAGAAGATAATACTTTTGGAGGGTGAATATCATCCTGTTTATCAGTTAGAGTCCTTTGGTTGCAAAGAATAGGGAAAACCAACAAACAAACAACACCCCAAGCTGACTCCTCTAATTAGCAGTAGAGTGGATTCCAGGGGTCAGGATCTGAGAGTCCACTTTCCCTGAAGGTAACAATCTTCATGGGGACAGGTGGATCCCAAATAAGAGAAAATGCATTATATCTATACCTTGTAAACTAAGGAGAACCATCCCTGTTTGGGTAGATTGAAGGGCTAGGTTATCAAATAGAAACTGCCTATGGCTCCATAGATATTCAATAAGTTGTTCTATAATGTTTATGATTGTCAATATATTTAAACATTGTAAGGGTGGGGACTGAGTAATGTATATATTTCTATCTTTCTCGGTGTTTGGCTTCATGATTCAAGGTTAGATAAATGCTTGTGAAATAACAATAAAACACAATGGAAACTAATTCAAGGTGATTGAACCCAGTGCAGCCACAGAAATGCTCCCATCGCCCTCTCTGCTCTGAGCACACTGGGAGTGGGCACGAGGCTGCTCACTGTCGTTTCTCTATCTCCTGCCCCTTCACAAAAGCACATGGGTGGACAGAGCTCCTGTCAGCAGAAGACCCTTGTGAATTTTTAAAAATGTTAACAGCAGTGAGAGGAGGTGGTGGAGATCAGAGCCATGCTAACAGATTTTAATTACTGTGGGTCACAGCCTGTTATGTATTCTCTCTGCGTGGAGGCCTGAGGTGTTGATTTCTTTCCAAATTAGAGAAGAGCAGCTGCTTTGGAGGATTAGCTGATGTCATCTAATGTAGTCCTCTGGTTTTCTGTTCATAGTCATCATGCACCTGGAAAACAATACTAAAGAAATTATTAAAAGTTACTAAGATATGAAAACTACTGTTAGAGTTGAATTAATTATTTTGACCTGATCTCAATTGATGTCAAAGAAGTTTGTGAAAAATGAAAAGCCACTGAATTTTTTAGGTGGTTGGAAGTGCAGTTATAGTTAAAGATATCTAGAGATATTTCAAAAGTAGCAACACAGGAGAGGTAGTTAATTGACTGGCAGTATGATTATTTTTCCATATTTAAATCTCTATAGAGTAACACAAAAAAAATAAAATAAGAGGGTTGGATGTGTCTTAATTGAGCCATCAAATGTGGTTTAGTTAAAAGGAAAGTTATTCCAAGAAGGCATGCGTGTCCCTTACTAACAATGGGGTCTGTGAGGTGCAGATACTTCCCTGTGGGTCAGAGTTGTTTCTGCAATGCGGAATGAAGATGTCTTATTACTTTACTTTTAGGCCAGTTATTCAAAAATGAAGAATGCTTAATCATTGTCTCCTTATTTGTGCCTAGGGTTTTCTTTATGCCAAATAGAACTTGTGCATATTACTAAGCAGTATCATTTACCCTGAAGCAAAGTGACTTATTTGAAATGAGCAGGTCTTATTGATGGTTTCATAATTGAGCTTTTCTGGAAATGAACTTGCTCTAGTCATAAGAAGGGCTTGATAGGAACTTAATAAATCAAATCTCTATGCTAAATTGGTAATGTTGAACAAGTGTTTGCCGTCTTGGTGCCACCACTGTAACCCTTTCCTTCTCTCTGCGAGTTGATTTCCAGCCAAGTCCAAGGAGGACATCAGTGGGACACCATCCGGAGTTCGCTCAGCGCTTCAGTCCACAGCGCTGGTGAGACCTCGCTGAGTGCCTGGAAGGGAAGCCCAGGAGAAGAGGGACGCTCTTATGCGGTATCCCGGTGCCTATTCTATCTTATATTTCAAAAGAAGCCCCTCTGTGACACTGCAGTCACCATTCATTGCCTAGGAACTTTGTTTATCTTAGATCACAGCTGGAAGGAAGTGGAATCAGGGCAGAGAAAAGCCAAAACACTTCATTATACTGCCTTCCCAGATATTTCCTATTAATTGTTTATCCACTGATCTTCTGACCCTCTGAACTTCCTCCACCCTATCCTGCTTTA